ACCTCCATGCTATATGTATAGCCTTCATGGTTCTATGGGTTGTGGTCTGATTGTTCTTTATTTTATATCTAGAACCCACTTATGAGTGAGTACATACCATGACTGTCTTTCTGGGTTTGGGTTACCTCACTCAGGATGATTTTTTCTAGTTCCATCCATTTGCCTGCAAATTTCATGCTTTCATTGTTTTTAGACTTTGTCATTTTTGAAATCTGAAAAGTGATTCCAAATAATTCAAAACACTGCATATGAAGAGTGTGCTGGCTGAGTTTGAGGCCAGCCTGGTCTACAGAGCAAGTTCCAGGACAGCCAGGCCTGCACAGAGAAACCCTGTCTTGAAAAACCAAAAAAAAAAAAAAAAGAAGAAGAGTGCTAGCTGGCAACCATACACAAAGGTATAAATAAAAGTAGTAATTTTAAGTGTTTAAGATGAGATTACTTAAAAACATTAGTTAAGTGGCTGGCTATGGTGGCACCCACCTTTAATCCCAGCACTCAGGAAGCAGAGAGAGGTAGATCTGTGAGTTTGAGGCCAGTCTGGTCTACAGAGTGAGCTTCAGGACAGCCAGGACTACATAAAGAGACCCTGTCTAAAAAAAAAAAAAAAAAAAAAAATTACCTGACTTGGGATCATCCCATATTTTAAGACAGTGGTATTGGTACTAGTCACCTGACATTTCCTTTGTCCTTGAAGGATAAAATGAAAAGTCCACGAGTGGCGCTTTCAGCGGCAACACAGAAATCTCTTGACAGGAAGAAGTTCATGAAGTAAGTTCTTTCTGTCACTTTATTATCAACCAGTTAACTCGTTATCAGCTGGTCTGTTTATGTCCCAGTACGAAATAAACAGGGGCTGGAGAGATGGCTCAGCGGCTAAGAGCGAGCCCTGGCTGCTCTTGCAGAGGTTGTGTTCCCAGCACCCACATGGTTGCTCACAACCCTCAAACTCGAGTCCCCAGGGAATGATACCCTCTTCTCGTCTCCACAAGTACTGCATGCACGTGTTACATGTGTGCAGGCAAAATACCCATGCATAAAATAAAAAGATTAAATTAGGAATACCAATTTGCTTCTCTGCAGTCTAGCTGATAGAAATCCCCTCTTTTTCTTAAATGTAATTTTTTTTATTGATTCTTGGGGAATTTCACATCATACACCTCAGTCCTACTCATTTCCCAGTCCTTCTATATCTGCCCTCCATCCTTGTAACCTCCCCCCAAAAGAAAATACAGATAAAAAAGAAAATTAAAAAGAAAAATGATCTCCCCAGCCCTCTGGGTAACGACCTGCTCCCCAGTCAATCACAGCCTTCTCTCAGACCAGTCACAACCATCACTGTCTCCAGTTCTGCCTTTCTTGTGGTGCTGCTCCTTTGTGGCTTTGGGCGCTGCATGTGGCATGCACTGGACCCTTCTGTCCAAACAGCTTTACTTGTAAATGCTCATTACAGTGAGTCGTTAGTCTGGCTCAAGGCCTCTGGCTTCTGGTACACCATCAATACTGGACCCTCACCAAGACTCCTCTCAGATACCCTGCTGTTGCCCGTCATGGAGATCCTGTGGCTATGGTTCCACAAGACTGGCCCCTTCACATTCTCCAGTGGGTCATAGATGGGGTAGGTGTTGGGGTGGGCCAACTCAAGGTCCTGGTTGTGGGCCTGGGTGGTAGCTGAGTTGGTCAGTTCAGGCTTCCGATGGCCCAACGCTTCCTACTCCCTACCCCCACCTCCTCATCCCCCAGGCGAGTGGTGAAGCCAGCTCTCCTGAGCTCCCTCCCTCTCATTTTTTAAAGACAGGTTCTCACTATGTAGCCTTGGCTGGGCTGGAACATACATTGTAGCCTATATTGGGATTAAAGGTGTCTGCCACCATGCTGGGCAGAAATCCACCTGTTGATACAGAGATTCATTAAAATCAGTGGTAAACAGCAGATTTATCTTTTGATAAAGTATAAGTTATTTATCAATATTCATTCAGCTTATATGACTGATAGCCAAACAATTTCAATAATTAGTCCTTATATTTAATATTTAATTTTTTTTCAGCATTTAAATATATTCCCCCTGATAACTGAAAGATATCCTGAGGCAGAAGCTCAAGAGGAAGTATATTCTAGTAACTATCATTTAAAAACTTAAAAATAATTTGTTTTATGCGAATGAGTGTTTTGCCACCATGTATGTATGTCCACCATATGTGTTCTTGGTGTCCACAGAGGCCAGAAGAGGGCATTGGATCCCCAGGAACCAAAGTTACAGACAGTTGTTATTTGCTGTGTGGGTGTTGGGAACCTAACCCAGGTCCTCTGGAAGAGCAGCCAGTGCTCTTAACATCTGAATCATCTTTCCAGCTCCCAGAAACTATTTCTTGAAGTTAATTTTTAATGTGTCCAGCACAGACCTTTAGCAGGCCCCTCACTTCTCAATGCCCGTCTGTCATTTATAAGTCTGTCTCCTCCCTTCTCCAATACATTGTCCTTATCTTTATATTGTACCAGGGTTGCTGAGATGGGAATGCCAAATAAGAAGTTCCTGCTTAAGCAAAACCCTTCAGAGACAAGGTGAGAAAAACCATTTCACCTCAGTGAGAGGCTTTTCTTTCTTTTTTTAAAAGAAAATCTTATATAGTCAAAGCTTGCTTTAAAAAAAAAAAAAAAAAAAAACTTGCTCTATATCAGTAGGACTCTGCTTCTGAGCTAGAGGGCTGAGGCCAGGCTCATATTCATGTCTGGTCCTATTCCTGGCCACATGTGGGTCTGATCAGAGGTTCCTGGCACTGTTTGTAGGTCAGGCCATTCCTGAAAGAAATTTCAGACTAACTGGGAATCTTTGGTCCTTGTTTGAAAACTTTAGGACGTTGACTTAGTACACACACCTATTGCCCTTGTGAAATGGGCATCATCTCATGTTTGAGGAGTTGCCTTTTGTAAGGCATGTCAGCATAAAAGCTCAGGGGTTACATGTGTTAGACATTGATTTCCTGATGAAAACCTGAGGTCTGAGCTCCGAGTGAGCAAAATCTAAATCCCTTATTAATATGCTTTAGTCGGTTAGCTGCTTGTGACACAGAGGCCATGATGCTGCATAGATGGCTTTTTACCTCACCACTGTCACCTTTCACCCATTGAAAGAAAGTGGGAAAAATGAAGTTTGTCTTTTGGAATTAATTTTGCATTTAATTTGTCAACAGAGTCCTTCAGCCAAACCAAGGACAGAATGCACCTGTTCATAGGCTCCTTAGTAGACAAGGGTAAGAATGCCACACATGGGGATTGGAAAATGCTCAAGCCCAGATCAGTTCTTGAGACGGAAAAATAATTCTGTGTTCTCTTCGGAACCAGCTCTCCTACTGTATGTGCTGTAGTGCGTAGCATCGAGATCTGATTTTGTGTGCAGACCGCCCTCTTGCTGCACGGCTGTGTAACAGCTCTTGGTTTTCATCTGATGTTGGCATGCTTTCCTTTCTCATTTCATACCATTTTACTCATTATCTGTTTTAGTATACGCTTACTCATCAAGTAAGTTTAGCCTCATCCGGCGATTCTCCAAGCAGGTGTGAAGAGTTGGCTTGGCTCCTGCAGAAACTCAAGTGCAGCTCGTCTGATTGCTGCACGCGGGGCCTTCAGTTCTTCTCAAACTCACTTACGCCTTGAGTGGTTGATGCTGTGTGCTTGTTTTCTCTGAAGTTCAGACCTTCATGCACGTGACTCATTAACCTTTTTATATTCAATTAGAGCCCCTAAGACATCAGTGAAGGGGGTTGTGCACACTAGACAGAAGCCTTCACAGAGCAGAGCGCCTAGCAGAGCGCCCGTGTCAGGTGTGTAGCAATGACTTCCGGGGCCCATGACTCAGGCTTCACAGTGGGACATGCAATGCAGTCTTCCTTGCCACCATAATGTTGGCATATTCGTGGACATTCCTATTGGTGGCCTTTGTCTTAGCATTCTGTGGCATATTGGTGGACTTCCTATTGGTGGCCTTTGTCTTAGTGTTCTGTGGCAGCCAGGAAATCCTATGAGCTAGGCCGCCTGTCCGAATGACTAGTAATTTTATGGAAAACACTTTTTTAATTTGGAAAGTTGTGTAGAATTCTCCAGGCTTACTCAGAACCTTTCTGTAGATGAGTAGAAATGATCATCCCATGTCTGATGTGGGTCTGTTCAGCCTATGGCAGCCTACGGCAGCCTGTCAGCCAGGGTTTCTGAGTCTGCACATGACCACAAGATCCACAGTGAATATGTCTGGTGTGTGGAGGGAGTGCCAAGCTTTCCCTCTGTAAGAAGCCTGAGCCGGATCTCCTTATACTCATCATGTGAGCATTATTCAAGGGTGAAACTAAAACCTGTTCTGAAATCAGTTTGTGGTGGCAAAAAGGACAGATTCAGTCTTGAGCCAATCCCAAACTCTTACTGAATGCTTTCCCATTTGTTGGTGTTTTGGTTAAGACATTTTGATTATGCTCACCGGATTATGCAGCCCATTAAACTCCTTCCAATGCTATGCTCTCACCTGCTTTCTGACACTCCCAGAAAGTCCTGTTAATCCCCAAACAATGGGGGAAAGCTTGAATCCATTCTAATCTCCCCACTAATAACAATTAGGCAAGCTTTATAACTACATTAGTGAGTGGTTTCCTCCAAGTTAGACAGAGGAAGCAATGTTACACCAAGTGATGCTGTTACTGTTACTCCAGTCCTTCATTATCTCTAGTTGACATAGATTCCAAGAGGGAGGAACAAGCTGTCAGGAACTGAGATGACTGCAGACCTTGTGCATGATGCCCTGGGCAGAGTTCATAATGTCATACCTATCTAGGCTACTTTACAGGATCCTCTTTTGAAGTCACTGAGTGACAGTCCCTGGAGTTGTTTGGAGGTCACCGGGTGGGAGAGCCCGCTGGCTTTAGAGGTAGTCAGTCAGCTGGCTTTCTAGGAACGCAGCCCAAGCAGCAGCTCTGTTGCTTGTGACATTCCGGGAAGTGTTAGGGTGTTTTCAGCCCTTCTCACGGTAGTGTTACAGACTGTGGGAACACTCAGGGACATCACTGAAGAGTAAGTGATAGTTTGCCACGTGACCACTTTCCGTGTTTTGTTCTCATGCATTTCATCTCCATGACTTGTCACTTGTGAGTCTGTAACCACGGAAAACGTGTTCTTTCCACTGAGTAATGGACACTGTCAGGGATGAACAGGCAGTTGCTGTAGTTAATGTGTGATGAAGCTCAGCTTTATAGCTTTTGAAGTTTAATTGCGTTGCAGTGCAGTTAGTAATATAAATATAATCAACATGTACAATTTCTATGTTTTTAAACAAGTAAAATGCCTTGTTTTTCTAAAATTTTATTTATATGAATGTATAGACAATGAAAGTACAAAATTCTCAATTTCATCTTTGTAAATTTTACATAAATTTGGAATTTGATACACTGACTAAAATGCTAATTATGATTTAATATTGCTCTTAAAAGAATTACTTTACCCGCCGGGCGGTGGTGGCACACGCCTTTAATCCCAGCACTCGGGAGGCAGAGCCAGGCGGATCTCTGTGAGTTCGAGGCCAGCCTGGTCTACAAAGTGAGTTCCAGGAAAGGCACAAAGCTACACAGGGAAACCCTGTCTCGAAAAAACCAAAAAAAAAAAAAAAAAGAATTACTTTACCCTGGCAGATTTCTAATGTCTTGGTTTATGTTTTAAATAATGCTTTGATTTGGTCTACATGAGCATGAAATCCTTAATTAGTAATCAATTTATAGAAAACTCCTGTTTGTTTTTGTATGAGAGAGAGTGTCTCACTATATAGCGCAGGTTGGCTTTGAACTTACAATCTTCCTGCCACAGCCTTATCTGCCAAAGACTGCAGCTTCCACACCCAGTTCAAAACACTTGTTTTTGTTATGTCGGATATTATACTCTTAGGCCGAGGTTGAATTTTCAAGTGCCCAAGGATTCTGCACAGCATTTGAAATTACTTAGTTTCTACAAATCAACTTTCAGTCTCCGAGCCTGTGTTTAAAGTCTGTTTCCTCTGTGGTGTTTGTGTGAGAGTGGATGTACAGTGGATCTGGGAACCACTGACCAAAGCAGAGTAGGGACTGGTGAGACAGCCCAGGAAGGGGTGACAGCTGAGTTCTCAGTTCCCATTCCAGTGTGAGCTGAGGCAGCTGACTGCTGGTGCTCTGCTGTCCTTAAATGAGACTAACAGTTTCTACCCCAGGAGTGCGTTCAACAACATGTATTGCTAACCCCACGCCTGGTAACTGACTAAGTTATATAATAGAAAATTTCTAACCTTGAGAAATAATATTAATTTTGCTCTATTTTTAGGAGCATATGCAGGAAAAATCCAAAGAAAGCGGCCAAATGTTGCGACAATTTAAGAAGACAGCATTCACTGGGATGAAGCGGGGGAGGAGGGCGTGCTGTTACCCACATTCCATTCCCTGGCTAGGACTTTTGACTTAGCCCTGGACTCTGTTTATATAGGCAAAGAGACAGCAAGGGCTGAGCATTTGTATGTATAATCTGGTCAGTTCAGAGAATCCCTGCCTCATTTTCCTATTAATGTTAGTTTGGGTGAAGATGATTAGCATATAGTAATTGCCTCGACTCTGAGCTCAGCATATATAAACATACTGTATGTGCCCAGAGGTCTATAGTTACCCTTTTTTATTAGTATAAGAAACTTGGACTTTAATTTTACAGAGTATTAAAAAGATACCACCAATTATAAATTATCCCTAAAACCTAAATTTCATTCATGACTACATACTGATTGCTGAATTTGATAAACAAATTAGATACTGTTCTATTCAAAAGGAAATTATTGCCAAAGTATATGTTTTTTACTAATTTTAAACACTCAAAATTCCATATTCTTTGTCTTGCAATGTAGCTACATAGGATGAAACACTTGCCACACTAAATCCCAAATAAGAAGTGGCTGGGGGTCATGGTTTTGGGTAGAACATTCCTGTAGACAAATAGTTGTTTTACAGAAATGTTAGGTTTCATGTATGTTACTATTAGGTACAGGTAGACTAGATTCTGAGTACTTTCTTGGAAGGTGGCAAGTTTAGGAAAGACAGCACAATCTTCATGAATATAGCACCTGGGAATGCACTGTGAAAATAGGGCCAGGAGAGTGCATGCAGTTAATTCTATTTCGTTTGTATAGTTTATTTCTTCATAGTCTTCTTTTTCCAGCATGCTTTACTTAGGAGAGAAAAAAGGGCTATTTAATAAGAAATCTGGATAGATAGCATAGTAATACTGTCTAGTTTAAAACTTGCAATAAAGGCACTGAGATTTATGACTAACATATTCATTAAATGCATCAACCAACAATGTACCAAGAGAATATGATTTCATGAAAGAGAATGTTACTTTTCATATAATTCTAAAAAGGGCTCTGTGCTTCTTACATAACATTGGGATTGTGTATATTTGATCCTTATAACTTGAATTTTAAAGATGGTAGTATTTCAAAGATGCAGCCTATATATATTCTTAATAACCTTTTAGGAATATTGAGATAAAGATTGTTTTTCTGATTTTCTTTCATCTGAGATTTGACTTTTATACCCAGCCATAGTTACAAAATAATAACCCACTCTGAGTATAAACTTGGTTTTCTTTATTGAGACTTACCATTTATTAAATAGAAAAAGAAGACAGTAAAAAAAAAAAAAAATTCAGGTTACTGCTGGGTGGTGGTAGTGCATGCCTTTAATCCCAGCACTTGGGAGGCAGAGGTAGGTGGATCTCTAAGTTTGAGGCCAGCCTGGTCTACATAACGAGTTCCTGGACAGCCAGGGCCAGATAAAAACCCTGTCTTGAAAAAAACAAAAAGAAAAAAAAAAGTCCACATTACAAACTTTTTACTTGTAGGAAGGTACACCAAATTATTTTCTCTGAAATGTGATTAACCGTGCTTCATTGTTCCAAACACTCAGGACACTCACTGGTATCATTGTGGGCTCTTCAGTAAGAAGAGGAGCTAACTTTGTGTAGATTACTATGCATTAGCAAAAGAAAACTGTGTTTTGGAAATCTACAACTACTTTTAGATTAAGGATGAGAAACTGGAGTGTGTCTTTAATTTCAAAGTAAAAGTTTGTGTGTTTTACGTTTGAATGTTCCCAATTTTTTCTCAGAAAAGTGCCAGGCACTGTTTTGTGCTTTTGAAGAAGTTTTATTTATATGCATTATCTTTATTGTTATTTTTACTTTGACTGGAATGTCTATTAATGTAAATTGTATTTATTTTTATACTTTGATTTTCACTAGTCTTGCTTCTAGGTAAAAGGCAAAATAAACTTTTCATCCTAAAGGGAATCTTGTTGGTTCTTTTTATTTTTAACCACAGAGGACATTTGGGGACTAGATACTGAGGAAGATGTGGCCAAACAGCATCTGAGATGATGGCATTTACAACTTAGACCCGTTGTTTAACAGGTAACCTGTCCTGCTGCTGATTTGAATAATGTCTGCTTCTTTGGAGCTAGACACCTGCCAGGAGCAATGGAGAGACAGGAGAGAGGGAGTGTTAGACGGGCTCTCACAGTGATGCCTTTGCCTTCCACACTGAGAGCTCTAATGTTACCCCAGCAGCTAGTGTCACCTCTCGCTGAGATGTTGTTGGTCATCTGCAAGGTTCAGTGTTCACACACCTCTGATCACGCAGCTCATGTTATCTTCATGTTCTCATCATTGTTGAAAATGACTGGGAATCACTGATGCTGCAATGTACTAACTTATAAGAATGAAGGGACTGTTTCCATCAGCGGTCACTGACTTAAGAGCACCCTGCAGTCTATGTTCAACCGTGATGAAAAGCAACAGTTGTGAAAGTAAGCAGTGCTGCTGCTGTTGGGAGAGTGCTTGTCCAGTGTCTTAGTCAGGGTTTCTATTGCTGCAATGAAACACCATGACCCAGAAGCAAGTTGGGGAGGAAAGACTTTGTTCAGCTTACTTCTGTATCACTGATCATCCAAGGAAGTCAGGAGAGGAACTCAAACAAGGTGGGAACCTCGAGGCAGGAGCTGGTACAGAGGCCACAGAGGAGTGCTGCTTACTGGCTTGCTCCCCATGGCTTGCTCGTCCTGCTTTCTTATTGAACCCAGGACCACCAGCCCAGGGATGGCACCACCCACAATGAGCTAGGCCCTCTCCATCAATCACTAAGAAAATGCTGGATCTTATGTAGGCATTTTCTCGATTGAGATTTCTGCCTTTCAGATAACTAGCTTGTATCCAGTTGACATAAAACCAGCCAGCATACCTAGCATGCACTAAGCCCCAGGTTCCACCCCCAGCACCAATAATCGACGTAACATCAAGTTCCAAAACCTTGAAAAAACGAAGACCTTGGGATAGTGCAATCTCTTCTTTGATCACTCTGTAACAAGGGTAAGAATTGTCAGACCTGTCATATACCAGTTAAAAATAAGCTTAGGACTGTGGAGATGAAATGACTCAACAGTTAGGTGCATTGGTCTTCCAGAGGACCCAGTTTGGTCCCCAGCACCTACTTGGTGGCCTCACAATTGTCCAACTCCAGTCTCAGGGGATCCTATATCCTCTCTGGCCTCCACAGGCACCAGGTTCATGTGCAGAGACATACATGCTGGAAAAACACCCATACATATAAATTAAGAATCTGGGAGCGATCTAAGTAGGTAAAATGCTTGCTGCCCGAGTACGAAGACTTTCCTAGCACCTATGTCAAAGTCTGGCAAACAGGCTGTGCACCTGCAACCCTAGCACCTGTGTGTGGGGTTGGGGTGGGAGTGGGGGGGTGGGGGGGTATGGACAGGCAGATTCCTAGGGCTTGCTGGCCAGCCAACCAGTCACACAGCTCCAGATTCAATGAGATAAACCCTGTCTCAAAACGTAAGTTGGAGAGCAATAGAGGAAAACACCAGATACAGACCTCTGGCCTCCACGTACACAAACATGAGCAATTGCACTTGCACATATGTGTACACACACACACACACACACACACACACACACACACACACACACACACTCTTAGAAGCTAAGTGCCATGGCTCATGCCAACAATCCCAGCACCTAGGAGGCTAAGGCAGAGGGTCACTGAATTCACGTTAAGCCAGGGCTGCAGGATGAGACCAGTTTCAACAACAATGCAAACAAATGAATTAAAGAATAAAATGCTGCCTTTTAAACTTGGTTTTCTTCACTCAGTGCTTCTCCATGGCCCTCAATTCTCCAGTTTCTTTAAAAATTTTTTTTTTTAGAATTATGTTTTTGATACGAATGAATGTTTTGCCTGTGTGTGTCTCTATACCACATGCAGCTGGTGCCTGTGGAGGCCAGAAGAGGACATCAGATCTGGGACTGGAGTTACCGATGGCGTGAACCACCATGTGAGTGCTGGGAATCCAATCTGGGTCCTCTGGAAGAGCAGCAAGAGCTCTTAATAGATGAGGCATTTCTCCAGCCCAGATTCTGCAGTTTCTGGACAGGTTGGCAGCTCTTGCTACAGAGAGAAGGCCCTGAGAACAAAGGCCGACCTTTGCCTGCCTCCTTAATCCTGGCTTCTGAGAGGCGACCCCAGACGGGTTTTATGATAACCCCCTTTGACCTTACCATCGCAGTACCTCAGTTTCACAGAGGAAGAAATTGGGACTCTGCAAAACTCAGTTGTAGCTGAAGTATATTCAGTTGCCTTTTCCAGAACTCATAAGATCGTGTTCAGGCCTCTCCTTCAGGAAATGCACTTGGGAGTAGAACCGGGAAGGTATGAGGAGTCTGGTAATTTCCCCAGTCTAAAACCCATTCTTATTAGAGTTAACTGAGAATACCAGCACTCACTAGTTTTGAACTCTAGTTTTCCAAAAACAAGTGATTAAAGATAGATACTCCAGAGGTTTCTATTAAGAAGAGAGAGTGCAAAGAGCATTGAATACAATTAAGAGTTATCACAATATCGTAATTCATCCATTAAAAAAAAAAAAAAAAAGGAAACACAAAACAGGACCGCCAAAATTCTGTGGTCAACATTTCTTGCTTATATTCGGACGCATGTTGTCAGCTGTGGGAAAAGAATGCCCAAAGTGCCTCACCCCCACGAAGCATGGAGAGAACCCAAGCCAAAGGATGAAATAATTCACTACTGAATTTCTTGTGATCTGTCCCTCAGCAGGCATGGATGTGTACACACTTACTTCTCACTAGAGGGCGCAGGCGGCCCAAGCAGCCAGTAGCAGTCGTGCCTCTTACGGTCCTGGCGGGTCAGTGGGATGGCTCAGAGGGTAAGGGCGTCTAGCGCCAAGCCTGATGACCTGAGTTCGAGTGAAGGAAGGACCAAAACCTGACCGTTAAACCCTGACCTCCAACGTGCACCGTGGCACATCTACGTACACATACATGTGATTTAAGCCAGGCGAGTTGATGCAGGCCTTTAGTTCCATTTTGGGGGCAGAGGCAAGTGGGTCCCTGTTAACAAAATAGAACACCAACACAAATCAAGCAGGATGACGGAGCTAGGGTTTGTGAGGGGACTGCCCTGCGCAAACGCGGAGGAACGGAACCCAGAGGAAGTTGCCCATCACAATCATGGCGGATGACGGAACTCAGGATCCTCAGAGCGGAAACTGCCCTTCACAATAATGGCGGCCGGGGCGGGGCCGAGCCTCTTCGGACATGAGAAAAGGGGCTGGCCCCGGAGAACAAGCGATCATGTGACTGGGAAGATGGCTGTCTTTCCCTGGTAAGGAAGAGCCGGCGAGTGGGCTTTGGGGAGGGGCCGCCCTAGCGGGTCTCTGCGTGGGTGGGCAGTCATCCCTGTTGGAAGTCAGTGATCTCCATCCCTGCCCGGGTTGTCAGGACTGCGGAAGAGCAGAGCCGCTGACAGTCCACTGCTCCTCCCCGCGATTCCGCCTCATGCCTGCTCGGTCCCAGGCTTCTGCTTCCCTAGGAGAAGTTGGCACGTCCTGGGGCTTCTGGGGAAGGGGATGAACTCGCTCCGGGTCGGCCCCCAGGAGACACGGTCGTTTGTTTCCTGAGCTCCTCAGCGCACTTAAAGTAGATTTTCCCATCTGTAAAGTGGGGCCATTCACTCTACTATGTGCAGAACCCTCGGACGTGCTTCAGAGCGGTCAGTATAATTGAACACAGAAGAAGGGTGTCCAAAGGAAGTTTTGGACAAGCCCAAAGGAGGGAGCAGTCAGTCAGCCCCACTGGCAGCTTAGGAAGACGCAAAGAAGAGCCTCCAACTGGGTCTTGCAGGATGAATAGGAACTCACCAAGCAGGAAGGAATAGCGTGTGCCAAAGTACGGGGGCTTTTTTTGGGCTTAGAAGTGAGGTGATCTTCAGGTAGCAGGTGATTTGCGTCAATAAAGAGCCCACACAAGATATGCTGATGGTAACGAGGTTCAGGATTGGAGACCTGTACATCTCAGGGGCTACTCTTCCGGCTTTCCTCTTCAGATGATGGCAGGTAGCTTACAGTGCTTGAGTTATGAGCATGAAAGTGGCAGCCCTAGGCCTTGAGCACGATCGACATCAACCCCCTGCTTTATGTTGGCCTGGCCTCATTCCCTCCTGCAGAGTTTTAAGAGCCCCCTTCAGCACACAGCACAGCAGCGTGGGTGCTGTGGCGCTCTTAGATCACTCCCCGGGGCTTCTGTCACTGTGCATGCTGGTTTGGTCAAATGGCCCTTTTGAGAACGGGGGGGGGGGGGCAGCAAGTGAGAAACATCCGGTTTCAGTGAACTCCCCTGGAATTTGTAATGAAAGACTCCAGGAAGATGCTCTTAGCACCTCTGCCCACTACGGTTCTACCTTTGACGGTTCTCTTGATAAAGTACCGAGAGGGGCCACAGCTCTGCTCGTGTCTAGGGTCTTTGTAGTCTTCCCACTCTGGCAGGCACTAAACATTTCTCTGTGTGGTAGTGCTCACTCATCTTTCAGTTTTGCCCACTGACTTCGTGGTCCTTAGTGAAAGAGAATTGTGTCCATCTTCCTGGTGATTGTAGGCCCACAGTGGATCCTATGGATGGATGAGGGAATTGATGAGGCCCATGGGAAGTGTGCTTCTGCTTTGAGGGTCCCATTTGTCAAAGGGTGTGCTGAGTGCTCAGCATGCAGCCTCTCATTTAATGCTCCCAAGTCTAGTTTTGATTTGAGAACATGGAATAAGCGTTGACCAGAGGTCATGAAGCCTGCTGGGTGACTTCTAGGGACTTGGTGGCCAAAGAGTTCCTGACCTCTTGGAGTTTGCTCTTTCCCCAGAAGAGGGAGAGTGGAGGAGGGGATTGGCCCGTGTAAGCACGAGAACCCGTTTCTGGAGTGTAGGAATGGGGGTGCGCATACCTTTGTGAGAGAAAAAGTCTGACTTAAGGCGGTGTGTGTGGTGGTGGCAGCGGTGGGGGCGCCCCAGCACAGCGGAGGAGTTTGCTGTAGGAGAGGGGAGGGACTGGCCGCACAGACAGTGAGTGGGACAGAACAGCAAAGACCTGCCATCAGCAGGTCGCAAGTGGCTAAGAGGAAACTGTGGGCAAAGCCACCCGAGAGGTTCTCCCCGGAGTGAGGCCTAGTGATCCAATGTGTGTGCTGGGGGGACTCTGAAGAGAGATTTCCCTCCTCCCCATTGGGATGGCTTCCAGGCCTTTTCTCCAAGCCGCTCCTGGGTTAATGTCCTCCCCCCTCTGCCCTGGCTCCTCACCCTCCTCACCCTGCTCACCGATCCTTCCTCTTCTTAACTCTGAGCTGGTGAAGCTATTCGTATCATTTCCTTTGCTCTAGTTGTCTTTTGCAGTTGCACAGCCTGGGCGTTTTCTTGCTTCTCTGGCACTTATTCTTCTGGGGCACCTCCCCCAAGCCCTCACTGTGGACCCTGCGCCCTGCTGTGTCTGTCCCCTTGACTGTCTGTCCAGCTCCAGGAGGTCCCCTGCGCCCTGCTGTGATTTTCTAGCTGCAGGAGGTCTCTTGATCCCTGCTGGGTCTGTCCAGCTCCGGAAGGTTTGCTCTAGACTCTGGCTGCCTGGCCTCCCAGCAGCCTCCGCTAACACTGGGGAAACCGGCTGGGCTCTTGGTGAGCTCCTCTGTGCACTGGATCTGCCCTCACAGATCCAGGATTTGTTGGCCCAGTTTTTACCTTCAGACGGCTTGAACATTGTTCGTGTAGCTTAGTTGGTAGAGTGCTTACCTAGCACACAAAGTTTGGGGTTTCATCCTTAGCATGTTATAAACAGGAGGTGATGGGGCATGCCTGTAATTCCAAAGCTTGGGAGGTGGAGGTGTGAGGATCAGGAGGTTCAAGGTCATGCTCAACCGCCTAGTGAGTTTCAGGCTAGTCTGGGCTACACAGTGAACTCAAATCAATAATAAAATAATTTTCATGTTTTTATTTAGTGTTTTATGTTGTTCTAACTAGCAACATTCTATGCTCCAAATTGCTCCCTTGTCAGTGGGATCCAGCTAACAGTTTTAGGTCTCGGTCACCCACTGGTGTCACCTTTCTGATTCACCAAATGTGTTTCTGTTCACAGGCACTCCCGGAACAGGAACTACAAGGCGGAGCTGGCGTCTAGCAGGTTGGAGACAGTGCCTCTGGAGTGTGGGGACTACCACCCGCTGAAGCCCATCACTGTGAGTTGTGTGCAGGCTCCCTGCATCAGGGCCCAGTGCCTTGGTCTAGTGGTAACTGCTTTCGCGTGTTCGAATCAACCCACCTTCATGTCCTTGAAGTTGCTGTGGGAAAAAGGCCAGGACCCCTGGTTTAGATGCTTCCTGATCTTTCTGTTGGGACAAAGAGTCACTCTGGCCACCAGGGGGTGTGGGGGTCGTGGGGTGGAGCTGTCTTGAAGAGCATCTTAGACTCTTCAGTTCAAACAAATGAAAGCAGGCAAGAGGCCTGCCGGTCCCTCTCTGTTATGTGAGTACTCTTATTAACAGGTGCAGCTGCCCCTTGTCCTTCGGTGTCCTGGAAAGATTGGCTTCAGGTACCCCACAGATACCCAAACCCTCCCCATTGCAAGGCCCTGATATCAAATTTCTGTATAAGCTACATACACCCTCCTAGGTGTTTTTTGTCACATGTGGACCAGGTTTGGTGGTCCACACCTGACATCCTCACACTCAGGAGGTGAGCAGGAGGAGCGAGAGGTCAAGGTCATCTTGGCTCCATGAAGCTATCTCAAAATAAATCCAATGCTTGTATTACTCACAGTACCCAGTCAAGAGCCGTCCACTGGAGCTCAGGAAATGACAGTCTATACTGGTCAGCTCAGATGCAGTTTTAGGCTTTTGATGGTTCTGGGCTTTGAACCCAGGACCTTATAGATGCTAGTCAGGTGCTCTACCTCTGAGCCATACCCCAAGACAAGTGCAGAGATTTTTACTGAATATTCAGTCATGGAACATTGGACACTGGGTGGTAGTCACATCGTGGTTTGTGATCCTACCTAGACATTGCTGCCAGGCAGATGGCATGGTGGCCTTGTTAGAAAGCCTATTCCCAGGGCTGGAGAGATGGCTCAGCAGTGAGGCCCTTGCTGCTCTAGCAGGAATCAGGTTCGGTATCCCGAGCAAACCGAAAGCAGCCCTGTGGTGCCGCTCCAGCTGCACAGCAAGCATTCGGCTAGTCTGGCCTACCCAGTGAGGTTCTGTCTTAAGACGAGCGAACAAACCAAACCAAAGAACACTTAAACTCACCACCACAATGGAGAAGACGTCTTTTCTGTAGTCTCAGTCTGCCACTGGCTATGGGGTGGGTCTACACATTGAGCAGTTTCTGCTCTCCTGCCTCCAATGGGTGACCTTTCATCCAATTCTGACAGCGTTCCAGACAGGAAAAGCCAGTGCATAACACTTCTGTGACCTCACCTACCAGATAACAGCAAGCCGTTCTTCAGCAGACACCAGCTTTGGGGGGCGCTTTGAGTCCGACTCTACTTAAAGATTGCTAGCACCAGACCCCACGCCAGTTACTAGGGCCAAATCTGGGTTGTGCCCTGGGCCCCTGACCTCTATAAAGGTCCTGCCATCTTTCCTTGGGTTCCATTAATTTGCTGAGGCAGTGTGCAGAGCTCAGGGAAGCCCTCCTGGTCAGGACAGTATGGAGAACCTGATGGCCAGCTGGAGGCAGGGTGTTCCAGGAGACACGTGGGGGAAGACCCAGAGCTTCTCTGCCTCCTAGGCATGACCCCCCTGCCGCCTCCATTGTTTATCATCCTTGTTCATCGTCACAGATATTCCTCAAGTGCCTTCAGTGAGGTGTTTCATGTAGGAGGAGACACTCAGTGGTCGAGTTGATTATTTTGAACTTTGTTGCTGGCTCTGTC